TATATTATATTATATTATATTATATTATATTATATTATATTATATTATATTATATTATATTATATTATATTATATTATATTATATTATTATATTATATTATATTATATTATATTATATTATATTATATTATATTATATTATTATATTATATTATATTATATTATATTATATTATATTATATTATATTATATTATATTATTATATTATATTATATTATATTAATTATTATATTATATTATATTATATTATATTATATTATATTATATTATATTATATTATATTATATTATTATATTATATTATATTATATTATATTATATTATATTATATTATATTATATTATATTATATTATATTATAAATTATATTATTATATTATTATATTATATTATATTATTATAATATTTATTATATTATATATATTTTATTTATATATTAGTCTCAGCCTCTTTCAGTATGCAGTGATATTTGCCGTCCTGGTTCCAGCAAAAAGGTGAAGGAAGGGGAACCCTTTTGCTGCTATGACTGCATCCCTTGCCCAGAGGGAAAGATTTCAGAGAAGGAAGGTAAGAAATGTGTTGCTTGGATTCAGCAAGGAAAATGGTGACAATCTAATCTAGAGGACAGTTCTAAATAAACCTGAATTTTGTTTTTCAATTGCCTCAGTTCAGCAATAAAACCTGTATTTCAAAATTGTGCACCTTGGACTATCAGTCTCTGCTCATTAATCTCTAAATCTGGATGTATTTCTTTCCAAAGCTGGTACATTTAATTTTGAAACCCTCATTCAATAGTTTTTATTGATGGAAAGGATTCCATAATGAAATATTTTTGTTCCTTTGATCAAATTTATTCTTTTGATTGCCTTCCAGTAACCTCCATGCTCCATGTCAGCTCCATGCCCTGGTTGCCTTACAGAAGAAACTGAGCCCTGTAGCACATTTTTCAGTGAATTCCCAGAAGATTTAGTATCATATCTGACTCTTGTTAATGTGAGCAACATTCAATCTGGCATGGAATTTGAATCACATATTGTTGCTACATTAAATGGGTGTTTGAGAATAGTTTTAGGCTAAATCTCTCTAATAAGGAAGCATCAGTGGTGGGATTCAGCAGGTTCACACCAGTTCGGCAAAACTGGTAGCTAATTTTTTGTTGCCCAGGCCCAGAATGGACTTCCGGAAGCGGCATCCACACAGAGAACCAGTTGTTCACATATCTGAATCCCACCCAGTAGCATCTGTTCAGTTTAACCCTTAGCATCACTAGAACATGCAGGGCCTTCATCACAATGAGATACTGTTCCTTATATTCAATTTGGCATGGAATTTGAATCACATATTGTTGCCACATTAAATGGGTGTTTGAGAATAGTTTTAGGCTGACTCTTCAATTCAATCTCTCTAATAAGGTAGCATCTGTTCAGTTTAACTCTTAGCATCACTAGAGCATGCAGGGCCTTCATCACAATGAGATACTATTCCTTTAGTGGGGCTACAATATTGTTACTATTCATATGAATATATCTATGTAACTGTTTTATATATACAAATGTGCACAGACAAGTGTATAATTGCTACATTTATTATTTTTAATATATGTAAGCGCATAAAGAACATACACTATACATTATAGATGCTCCTTCCTGCCACATACAGTATCTAGCAGTATATTGCTGAACTATCCAATGTGCGTTATGGAAAGGTTCCTAAGATGAAAACCTCATTGTCTGCCTCTTCATTTTTTTCAGATAGTAATGAATGCTATGCTTGTAAAGATGGAAGCTATCCAAACAGAAATCAAGATAGCTGCAATCCTAAAATTATCATATTTTTGTCTTATGGAGAACCTTTGGGGATCAGTTTAGCCTTCTTTGCTTTTTTCTTTTCCTTGGTATCAGTGATGGTGCTTGTAATCGTTATGAAAAACCACAACACTCCCATTATTATAGCCAATAACCGAGACCTCACTTATATTCTCCTCTTCTCCCTCCTGCTCTGCTTCCTTTCCACGTTCTTATTCATTGGTCGGCCCAAGAAAGTGATATGTCTTCTCCAACAAGCTGCTTTTGGCATCTCCTTCTCCATGGCTGTTTCTTCAGTGTTGGCAAAAACTGTCACAGTGGTTCTGGCTTTCCTGGCCACCAAGCCAGTTTCCAGAATGAGAATGTTTGTGGGAAAGAGACTTGCCAACTCCATGGTCATTTCCTGCTCTCTTATTGAAACAGTCATTTGTATGTTGTGGCTGGCAATATCTCCCCCATTCCCAGATTTAGACATGCATTCGATGGTTGAAAAAAGCATTCTGCAGTGTAATCAGGGGTCTGAGATTATGTTCTATTGTGTCCTAATTTATATGGGCTTCTTGGCCTTTATTAGTTTCATTGTTGCTTTCTTGGCTAGGAAGTTACCTGATACTTTCAATGAGGCCAAGTTCATTACTTTCAGCATGTTGCTCTTCTGCAGTGTTTGGATATCCTTTGTTCCAACTTATCTGAGCACTAAAGGAAAGTACATGGTGGTTGTGGAGATTTTCTCCATCTTAACCTCTAGTGCTGGTTTGCTGGGCTGCATCTTTTTCCCCAAATGTTATATTATTGTGTTCAAGCCCAACCTTAACAACAGGGAACAATTAATGAATAGAAAAAAGGAATGAGTTTAATTGAGGGTGCCCTTTGCTATTATTTTAAATGTAGCAATTTTGTGTTCTTTATATAATAATAAAAATAATTTTTGTTTTTCCCTTCCATTGTGGATGGTGATTTCAATAATCCTCCTCTAGTAATATCTTTTTCTGCAAAATATGATAAAATTTAATCTGAAGTCATCCAACCCTGATGGTAGAGTTCTACTTTATCTCTTTGATCTCTTTCACTCTTACTAATAACTATTTACTTTTCCTATTTGAGATCAAGATCAAATATGAAATAATTAAGGGATCAATGGCTCAAACATGTTGTCTAAACTTTGTTTTATACTGGAATCAGAAGGGTTGGGAGACAGAATTTCAGTTATAGAATTATTTGATAACCCTCAGTACTAGAACATTAAGTACACATTTAGAAGATAATGCTCTAGTGATCAAAACAGTGGACCCCAATAAAAAGAATAAACAAGCAAACCTCACGGATCATGGCACATTAACCTTGTTTTTCCTTTTAAGTTTGTTACTGGCATAAAAATATTGTTTGAATATGACAATCAAAGGACATTCTATATACAACAGCATTCTTTAGCATGATAGGTCCTGGCTAATGATATATTTAGTATAAAGTTGAGGCATATAAACGGAAGCTAAATGAGTCTTTTCAAGTCTCCTTTATAGCCCAAGAAACTAGAGAAGGTGAATTCTGAGGCTCTTGCCTGCCAACTATCCAGCTACCAACTGTGTTGTTTTTTAATTGACCATTCCTTAGGCAGAGTCTCTTCGCCTCATCTCTCAAGGCATTTCCTACATACCAATACAATTGTTTATTTTAAAACCTGAGATTGCTGTTTTGATCATGCCACAGGTAACACATCTTCTCTTTCAAATTGATCAGAGAGACACAGACAGGGTGAAGGCATGCCCTCACAAGAAACTTCAAGTTTCCTGTTTGAAACTTTAGTGCAAGTTTCAAAACTTGGGATGCAGAACCTGGAAAATAAGATAAGTTGTATGATTGGAAAACTGTTGCCAATTGATCTCTGTCTTTTTCCTTTACACTGAAGGTAAGCCTGCAGTTCTTTACATTATTCAACTTTGGAATTCCTAAGCAAGTGAGAGTGAAACCTTTTTTAAAAATAAACCTACCAACATTAGGACTTTAAATGTTAGCAATGGGAAAACAGTAGTGTCAAGTGAGATTGACTAGATGGGACAATAAATCTATTGGTTTGCCCTTGGGTAGCCCACTGTTGGTTATCATAGTTAGGATCCCTTGGGTAGCCCACTGTTGGGTAGCCCACTGTTGGGTAGCCCACTGTTGGTTATCATAGTTAGGAGGTGATTTGGGTATTTTGTTCGTTTGTTTTTACCCCATTTGGGAGGGTATAAGTTGCCAAGATCTTATGGAAACTGAGCAGTATTGAAGTCTCAGCAAATAAATAAACAAATGCATAAATAAATGCTGGTCTCAGCAGCCTGTCCATTAGATGGACTCCCAATGCACATAGAATGGAAGGCTAGAACAAAGAAATCAGGAGATACAATCTTAGGAAATGAAAGTGAAACTCACAGATATTTTTGCTCATATCTCTAAAGCATCTGACAGTATAGATACACCAAACAAAAGTGTGGCATATACAGATCAAAATATATTGTGAGGACTGGACCCATAGTGGATTAATCAGCTAGCATGTTTTAGTGAAAAGGCATTTCACATTGGTTCATGATTCATACCAATGTTCTGAATTGGTCACTTTAAAAGCATTCTCCTCATAGGTACTTGGTAATTAGTTAAGAATTTGCATATATCTATAGTTCCTCTAGAAACAACTCCATGAACAAAGCATATATGTAAGAAACATCTGTTCCCATGCTTCCATTTTTATTTCTCTCCCCATTTTGCATTTAAACATTCCCCTCCTCACTTGCTCTTTTCTATCAGAATAACAAAATGTAGATTTTTTAAAAAAAATATTTTTTATTTTTATTATCCCATCTGTATTACTTTATAAGTAACTCAAGGTGGTGAATATACATAATATACCTTCCTTCTCCCATGTTTCCACAATAACAATTCTGTAGGGTGGGTTGGGCTGAGAAAAAGTGATAGCCCCAAGGTAATCCAGCCAGCTTTCATGTCCCAGGCAGAACTAGAACTCTCAGTCCACTATCTATGGAGATTCTCAGTCATCCAGGTAATAGTTGTCTCAAAGGTGACTTTTTTTTTTCTTCAAAAGGCAACTGGACTGTTTTTTGAGGAAGAAGACATTTTGCTTCACATCCAAGAAGCTTCATCAATTGTGCCTAGATAGTGGTGGGATGGAGGGATAGGTATCTATGCAGGTCTCTGAGTTTTCAGCCTTTTTTCAAGGCCTGAATTTATATTACTGATTTCCATTTCCCAAGTATTTAAGCTTTTTTTTAATTAAAAGGCAGAAGTTACTTTTCAAGTGTTCACAGATAAAAACAAGATTATAATTGTAATAAAGAGCTGTTCTGAAAGAAGAATACTCTGTGTTCATGGTCTACATATAGGAATTAAACCAGATAAGATTATTTCCCATCTAATACTGTCTATCTTAACTGGAAATAACTGTTTAACATCTTGCAGAAATACTCATTGTTATTATAAGTTCTTTATTTTAAAAGTTGTGGATGGAGGAATAGAGAGAGAAAGAGAGGAGAGGAGAGGAGAGGAGAAGAGATTAGGGATACCAAGAACTGAATCCAAAACTTCTGTTCAGCTTTACTGAATGTTTTCTTGCATGCTAAATTTCTTTCCCACAGAAAGAAATTGTCTTTTCTTGTCTTTCTTTTCAAAAGTCAAGGGAGTGATTGTTCTTTTAGCTGAAAATATGCTGGAAAAGAGAACTGCCATGTTAGTGATATAATAGCTAATTTGGCTTGCTCTGGGGGAGGTGTGGATGAGGAAATATATTAGACGAACTTTATTAGGCCAACTAAGACAAAAAAATAGTGTGTGAATTTTGGCAAGTGAACAGAATTCCATCAAAGACAAAAACTAAACAAAACATTCCTAAACAAACGAAGGATGGGAAAGATTTATAAGGAAAAAGATTGTTAGGAGTCAAAACCAAATTGATGGTACATAAGCAATCAATCAATAAATTAAAAAAGTCACAGTTTAAATCTTCAGATAATCCAAGTCCACCAGGGCTCTAGGAAGGCAGCCTAAGATGCTTACAAAGCTCAAAATTGCAGTACTTTTTTTTAAAAAAATCTGCTTCAAGAATGTATCCTTTTTTCTCCATTTTGACAGTTCATATAAAGCTGAATGCATCTGGAATATCCTGATAGACTTTCCTATATCATTTTCAACTATGTTAACTTCAGTTTATGAAACACAACGCTAGGCTGCATTAACAGAGGGATAGAATCAAGATCAAGTGAAATGTTAATACCATTTTATAACACCTTTGAAAGGCCACACTTGGAATACTGCATCTGGTTTTTGTCACCACGATGTAAAAAAGATGTTGAGACTCAAGAAAGAGTATAGAGAAGAGCAACAAAGATTATTAGGGGACTGGAGGTTAAAACATATAAAGAACGTTTGGTAGAATTGGGTATGTCTGGTTTAATGAAGAGAAGGACTAAGGGTGACATGATAGCAGTGTTCCAATATCATAAAGGTTGCCACAAAGAAGAGGGAGGAGTCACCTCCAAAGCAGGAAAAGAAGCAATGGATAGAAACTAATCAAGGAGAGAAGCAACCTAGAACTAAGGAGAAACTTCCTGACTGTTAAAACAATTAATCAATGGAACAACCTGCCTCCAGAAGTTGTGAATGCTCCAACACTGGAAGTTTTTAAGAAGAGACTGGACAACCATTTGTCTGAAATGGTATAGGGTTTCCTACCTGAGCAGGAGGTTGGAGTAGAAGACCTCTAAGGTTCCTTCCAACTTTATTATTATTATTATTATTGTTATTGTTATTGTTATTGTTATTGTTATTGTTATTGTTATTGTTATTGTTATTGATCATTGCACAGTCAGCCAGATGTTCAGACTGGATTTGGCATTTTTGTCTACCTATCAAGTCCTTACCAAGGACCTGGATTAGACAGATGTGGATGTTTGATGGTATTACAGATATCGTCGCAGGATGGAAGCAGTTCCTAGTAAGGCCACCTTTTGCAATTGACTAGTGGTGAATTTGTCAATGCCAATGGTGTTCAAGTGGTGCTCCAGTTGTTTTGGGATTGCACCAAAGGCGCCTATTACTATTGGTACTACCCTTGCTTACCTTTACCACAGTCTTTCTATTTCTATTTGTAGGTCTTTGTATTTTGTTATCTTCTCCAGTTCTTTCTCATCTATTCTGCTGTCCCCATGCACTGCCACGTCCACTATCCAGACTTTTTTGTCTTTCTTATCAATAATTGTTAAGTCCGGGGTGTTATGTTGCAGGTGCTTGTCTGTTTGAATTCTGAAGTCCCAGAACAGTTTAATTTTATCATTTTCTATGACTTTCTCTATTTTATGATCCCATAAAGTTCTTGCTTACAGGCAAATGATATTTCTTGCAGATCTTCCAATGCACTATTGTTGCTACTTTGTCATGCCACTGCTTGTAGTCAGTCTATGCGATCTTCTTGCAGCAGCTTACCAGGTAGTCCACTGTTTCTTCTTTGCATAGGTGGCACTTACTGTCTGTTGCTGTTTTCTCAATTTTGACTTTGTATGCATTTGTTATTAGGCTTGGTCTTGTGCAGCCAAAATTAGTCCCTTGGTCTCTTTCTTCAATTTTCCTGCTCTTAGCCATTGCCAGGTCTTGTTATTATCTGCTTTCCCAGCTATTTTTTTAATGTACTGGCCATGTAGTGCTTTGCCTTCTCATGCCTCTATTCTGTTCTTAATTTGGTCTTTCTTGTAGGCCAGTTTGGTCTGTCCAGTAGTCAGTAAGCCTTCCTGATATACTCATTTCAGTGCACCTTCATCATTGTCCTTCAGATATTCTTCCAAAGCCATTTTTTCTTCTTCAACCA